AGACCATAGACACAGAGCTGAAGGAACTTTAGAGGCCATCAAATTCAACTCTTGTATTACCGAAGAGGAAACTGAGGCTCAGAGGGCAAAGTGATCTGAGTGTCTGAGGCAAGACTTGAACTTAGGTCTCCTGACATCAAGCCCAGCATGCCCTATCCATTGCACCACACTGCCTCTCATGACCCTTGTACAGCCAGGCCTCCCCAAGTATCCAAGCCATCAGCACATTATTGGCTCTTGAACAAGCACAAAGACAGTCAGTCACAGGTCTGGACTAAGTTTCTGGCTCTTCAGGTGCTTAGGATGTGACATTAACGACCGCTGGATTTGCGAGCTTACAGCTGCTCCAACCCTGAACCCTGAAGAGAGGCAGGCCTTGGGCCTCCAAAATTCACATCACATCATGTTCGCATCTGGTTATGTGCGAGCCTTCCACAAACCAAAAGAGTTACCGAGGATGAAACATAGGCACACGCACACGCACGGAACTCTTGCTGCTAAGAGCCATCCCTTTGGTTCTGCTCACATTCACGCGATCAATCAGGTTGGACAGTCAGCTTATGCTCTCCTTCCCAGGGCACCCAACCAGATGGGAACGAACTTTCCCCTGAAAACAGCAAACCTCTCTCTAACCCAACAGCCTGCAAGGCAACCTGCTCTCCCCCGGGTACCTGCTTGCAGTTTTTAAGGAGCAGGCAATCTGAGAGGCGACGTGGCCGTCTATCCCACCTGAATGAGGGCTTTCATGAAAGATGAGCCTAGCGCATCACGTCACTGAACATTCCGTTATATCTGGGAGCCCTTACTCATTTCAACAGCCAGCCGTTTAACGTAAAACTTGGGTGACGACTAATGTTAAGAACCATCAAGCCCGACAATTCCCACTCAGTAAGATCATAGATTTGCACATTTTAGTTCCTTCCAAATCTGGGTCTGAATCACCGTAGACTAATATTTCCCCCTCACCATCCAAGCGAACAGTTATTAATACAGACATGTGCCTGCCTTTCAAAAGCACCAAAGAGTTGGGTTTTTTCCAAATTTACCCACACTATGAATTATCAAAGAGGCAAAGGTCAGGGTAATTATCTCAACAGATGAAGTCACTGAGAAGAGAGAGATTCACTCTCTTTTGCTTAGAAATGTAAAAGTAAAGCTGGGAACAGAACACAACAAAACATCTAGCTTTTAGCAAGCTTTAATGCTTCTAGATTTATAAAATGTTATTGGAAAATAAAGATGACATAGACCTCAACAGTGTCAACTCTTTCCTTCATTCCAACAAGCCTACTAAGTGCAAAGAAAAGCTCTTTCCCCAAAGGAGTTTCTCTCCCTAACGGGGTTATTTTCTGCAGCAGGAATCTGTATTTCGACACAACCCCATGATGGGCTGAGTCAGGAGCAGGTTCAATAATTCAGGGTGTTAACAAAGTCTTCCAGGAGGAGATGGTGGCAATGGGGTTTAGGAGGGAAGGAGCTTATGGCTCCAGGCTGGAAGGAGACCAGCAAGGCCAGGGCCCAGAACCCGTGAAGGGCAGGAGCAGGTCCTGAGCCTGTGAAGGAGGGCTGGTGCCCACCTGAGACATTTGCAGTTCATCCTAGAGGCAATAGGCAGCTACCCAAGATTCCTGAGCAGGGAAGTGGCACGCCCAGATTTGTGCAGCAGCAAGATTACTTTAGCAGCTATGTTAAAGAGGGGATGAAGAAGAGAGCTTGGATTCAGTCACCCAGTTGGGAGCCAATGGTGCGCTGCACAGGAAGAGTGAAGGCCTGAATTAGGCAGCGGCTGGGGGGGGGGGGGGAGAGAGTGCCATAGTGCAGAGTGCTAGGTTCAAATCCTACCTCAGATACATAGAGCTGTGACCCTGGGCAAGTCCCTTCATCTCAATTTCCACATTTCTACGGGTCCTAACAACTCTAAACCCACAATTCCACAGTCCCATAAGAGGATGAGTTTGAGAGAGATTGTGAAAGCAGAAATAATAAGAATCGGTTTCCCAGACAAGAAAAAAATCAAGGCTGACTCTCAGGTAGCAAACTTGGATAAATGGAAGGAGGATGGCGTCCTTACGAGAAATATCAGTTTGAAGGAAAGCTGGGTTTAGGGGGGAGGATACTGCACCCAGATATCCTGAGTGTGAGACGTCTATGGGCTGGGATGTCAGAGATACAGAAGAGGAGCTCAGCAGAGACACGGGCTGGATGTGGAGATCGGGGAGTCATCAGCCTAGAGATAACTGAACCCATGGCAACAGATGAGCTCACCAAGGGGGCAGGGGAGGGGGGCAGAGACAGAAAAGGCCGAGGCAAAGCTCTGAGGGCTACCTGGGGCTTAGGAGTGGGATAAGGATGATGACCCAGTAAAGGAGAGGAGTAGTCAAACTGGTAGCAGAGAACCAGGAGAAAGCGGCACCATGAAAGCCTGGTACAGAGACAGAAAGCAGGAGGAGAAGGTGGGGGACAGATCTGGATGTTACAGAGAGGTCAGCAGAAAGTCCGAGAAGAGCCTGAGAGATTTCAGATTTAGCCTCTGTAAGACAGCTGGCAACCTCAGAGAAATAGCTTCAATTAAGGAGTGATATCTAGTCCAGGAGCAGCTGAGACGTGTGAGCTAAATGCTCATTTATTTTGCTTAAGAGGACTTTTTATGTTACACAGATGAGCTGAGAGGGGGCAGGAAGGGCAGGGCATTGGATAGTGAAAGTGATACCAAAAAATACTTATTTACAACTTGAAAAAAATTGAGTAAAAAAATGGGGTGGGAGAAGTTGAGGCAGCGAGAAGAGACAAGACAGAGCAGAAAGAAGCCTCCATTGGAACCCCACGGCTGCCACCTCCTCTATCTGTGCCCCATGGCAAGTCTCTGAGCCTCAGTTTCTTCAAGTGTAAAGTGGGGGTAAGAACACTGGCAGGAACTACTACATGGCCTCGTGGCGAGACTCCAATGAGATGACGCCTACAAAAACCTTTGCAAAAATTAGACAAGGACGCAAAGGCTCATAGAGAACCTTTCTTAAAACCAGTGGCTTGAAGGAAGCCCGGAATGACCCAGCGATCAGATGTGCAGATGAAGAAAAGAGTGGACACGTAGCAGGCACAGCAGACTGCAGAACTCCAACACCCCCAAATTCTAGAGGTTACACCCAGGGCCCACACGGACAAAATCCACGGTAATGAGGCTTAAAGCAAAGCCCAACATTTCAATTACAAAAGCCAAGGGCACAAGGACAAGATGGGAGCGGGGAGGTGAGACAATCTGTCGGACAAGATGACCCGGTTGTTTTAACAGACTAACCACTCAGTCTGATTCATGAGACTGACACGGCAGAAAAAAGCTTACCCAACAGAAGGCGGCATGAAGAGAACATGGTGCTGAGAACAAAGCAGGTGACCGCAGCCCTGGTGCGTCTACCTGAAGTGCTGGGTTCAATTCTGGGGACAACGTCTACGAAGGACACTGACGAACGTGTGCATCCTGAGGCAGACTGGGGAGATGATGAGGGAGGGGACAGGAGACAATGCCAGAGGAGGACCAGCTGGAGGAAACGGGGATGCCTGGTCTGGAGAAGAGGAGCCAGCCAGGGAGCCCTGACAGCAAGCCTCAGGGACACAAAGGGCTGTCACACAGAAGACGAATTAGCCTTGTCTTGAGTTAGTGGGTCAACCAGTCTTTAGGAAGCACCTACTATGTGCCAGGCACTAGGCTAAGTGCTGGGGAAACAAAGAAAGGCAAAGACAGCGCCTGCCCTCGAGCTCAGCCTGAAGGGGGAGACAATGTGCCAACAACCAGAGGGTCAACTGATCCACTGAGCGTGGTGTCCGAGGGGAAGGACGGGACTGAGCACCCAGGGGCTGGGGGCGGGGGAGGCTCCTGCACAAGGAGGCCTGTGGGCAAAGTCAGAAGCAGTAGGGGGAAGCCGTCAGAGCTGGGCTTCCTGATGATCAAAGAGAGCAGCTTGCACTGGGAGGCCACCCCGGGGGTGCCCAGCTACAAGAGATCTCTCCCCACTCTGGTTCGGGGATTCTATGCCCACAGAGGGCAGTGTGACCTCGTGTCCCACAGAGATCCAGGGGCAGAGCAGGGACCAGACAGCCCCAGGTCTCCTGAGGGCCAGCCCAGGGCTTTCCCCAGGGTACGGAGCTTCCTGTTCTTTAAGGCACCCAGAGTGCATCGTTTCTAGCACTGAAGACATTCCTCCTGAACCAGTTATGCCCAGTTATGACCGCCCTCCAGAAGAGCTCCCAGGCTCAGAGCTGCCCACCTCAGGAGCCCAGTGATCTTTTCAGAGCAGCTTTCACAGCAAAGAAGGGCCAATCTGCCACCATATCACGGTAGGGTCCGAGATCCCCGGGTTCTACTTGGCTTTCTAATACGTCCTCAGCAAGTGCCGTACCACAAAGAGAAGGGCCCAGGAGAATCCTGTCTCTGAGATGGTTTCAAAGAAGATCGTGGTGGTGGAAGATGCAGACAGCAGTCTTGGAGGTGGCTGGGAAGGCCAATTCAGGTAGAAGACTTTCCCCCCACAAAAGCAATGGGGAGCCGGCACAGTGGGGGAACAGGGAGAAGAGAGGTCCTTTACCACAGGCTGCCATAGGCATACATCCAGAAAAACCCTCAGCTGGACGTAGCCAGTGGCATTTCTTTCTGTCTACACTAAATTCTGTGCTTTAGAAGCTTGGGCTGCAGGAAATCAGAAATCATTACCCAGTGCATGCTCAGCTCTTAGAATGAGAGTCACCTTAATGCTGTTCCAGGGGAAGGTGTCTGATTGAGCTCCAGAATTAGAGCATATGGAGAGATTTAGAAAGCCCTGTTCTTCTCCGACTGCCACAAAGGGCTCCCCCACCCCACCCTGCCAGACTTAGCACTCAGCTGTAGCTGGCCTCACACATAAATAAATACTATAGGTCACCACCTGAAACATCCCCTATATCTGGACCCCTGAAAGAAAATGTCATCACACCAAATATCATTGGAACACGGGAGCACTGGTACTCACGGCTGGCATTTCTGTAGAGAAGAAATGGCTCGTGGAGCTGGAATTCCAAATCTTTGTTCACGGGTTCCACGAGGTTCGTCATATTCAGCCGATTCACGATCGTGAAACCGTGGAAAGGCGAAGCTGACCTTAGTTTTAATGGAGAAAAAAAGCCAGGTGATCCTGGGGCATTGGATTTTTGCTCAAATGCAGAAATGCCCACCCCTTTCATTTCCATCCCAATCACTATATGAGCATGTTACGCAGAATCACGTAGCAAGGACTGTCCTTTGTAGCCACAGTGAGAGACGTGACAAGAACAGGCTTCACCTTCCAAAAGGGATCCTCATCAACCCGGTCCTATGGCCTGAGGCCCTACAGTGGCAACACCGTCAGGAGGCTACGGAGCAGTGAGAGGCCCTCGGCCAGGTCCCAAGGCAGATCCATCTTCTGCTGAACTTGGCATTACCACGAGCAATGGTAGTAAAATAATAACAATAATACTCTGAGGTTTGTAATAAAGCACTTCTTCACATGAAGGAGAGATGATTAAGATGATTAGATTGGGCCTGAAGCGATGAGCTCCCGAAGGACTAAGTAGGAAAGTGAGCCTGAGATGGGAATGTTCCAGACGGGGGTCCCAAACTCCCCAGCACCATGGCCTGGCTGGCTCCAGTGTGCCACAAGCACTACAGTTAAACAGTGACTTTAAAGCCCGATGTCAAGCCCTCTTGGGGGCTGGGGCTCTTTGCAGCCCCATTAAAGCTTCTGGGGAAAAGCAAACATTTCTGATCTGGTCAGAGAAAGCTAGGCTTTCCAACATCTCCTGAAGGCACCACCCATACAGATCACTCAGGGTAACCTAAGGCAGGTGACCCCCAACTTGGGAAACACAGGCGGGGAGAAGCCTGAATTTACTCCGAGGAGTAACTTAAATCAAAAGAGGACAAAACCAGCCAAATCTCATTTACATCACATATAGTGACTCGACGTATTTCAGTATTTCAAAGAGACCTTCTGAATGAGTATGTAGAAAAAAGAAGTAAGCCTGCCGGAAGACCGTGACAGTCCTTTATTTTCACCGATCTGTACACTTTAGAACATACCAAAATAATGACTTGTTTTCCAACTCTGAAATCAGCAGGGCCACACGGGGGCTTTGGTGGGCCCACATATTCTGGTTGTTTAGTCTTTTTCCGTTAACGATACAGCATAGGACAGAATAAGGCAATAGATAGGGTAGGAATCAAAAGGAGGAAAATCTTAATACCTTCCCGGAGTAAAGTCATTTACAGTCACCACCATTAAATTAAAAAACAAACAAGCAAACAGAAACTTGAGGTCTCGCATTTTAAAAATCTTACCTTCTATATACAAATAAGGTCCCTTCTATGTCAGTTTTCTCCTGCAATAAAGATCATTAAAAAGACAGTTATGATCATTTTACTTATATAACCTCCCTTCAAGTAACCAGCTTGTCATTGTACTAATGGAATAGTAATAAGGGAAAATCAATGTTGAAGTGTCCTAGAGACCTCACCGGCTCTCCAAGGTATTGGCTTTCTTTTTAAAGGGAGAAAACTTGGATGGGAGGCTATTTTATTCATAATCAGATTAAGAGTTTTGAGCCAGATTCCCTGGTTTGTTGGGGTTGTTTTACTTCTGCTCCAGGAGCGTCTGCCCCTTTCAATGTTTACCAGAGTTGACAGGAAGAAGGGAAAGTTGGCTTCTGTACTGATGATAATTTCTTTTGTTTGGGGAGTTTCGCTCAAAACAAACAACTAGTGGCAAACATTTTATTTCTACTTGTAATTTCTACAAGTTGTGATAAACATTATTAAGACATGTTTTTAAAAAACCAAAACGTTAACACATTTTCAATCGTATGATGTGCTAAGAACACTGGAATCGCAAATCCAGTCTCAGGCACTTCTCTGCCCAATCCTCCCAGGGCCTCAGTTTCTTCATCTGTAAAACTAGATAACAAGACTTAAGCCTGAGGGAATCCCAGATTTCCTGATTTTACAGAGAAAGCAACAGGAAGCTGAGGACCTGTCCATCCTGAGTCCTGGGCCTCAGAGCAGGGCCCACTCAGGCCATATCTAGCCAACTCTCAGCTGTGCCACACCACTGTTGGGTTGTGTAAGGTATTTGTCAGGAAAACATTCTGCAAACTTTTGGATTTTTAGGGGATCTCCTTGATTTGTTGTAAGTATACACATGTGAACCAAATTCTAATGATTTGTTTAGGGACTTGGCCTTTTTTGATTTTCCTTCTTTAGGCCAGAAATCCTTAAAAAATTTCAGTTGAGATAATAAAAAACATCAGAATAGCAGGAATCATCTCCGTAAATTTTCCCCAATGGAAGCATGCTACTTTTATCCCAGCAGGCCCTCCCTGCCCTCAGACTTTCCATACTCTCCCTCACAATCAGTTCTTCTTTTTGGGGTCTCTAAGCTACTAGGCCTTCATCACCCTTCACTGGTACCAAGCTGCTCTTCTGTCCTTTGGGAAGTGTTCTCCAAATCATTTGATGTCTCCTAGCCATAGAGTCAGGAAAACTCTTTCTGAGCTCAAATCTGGCTTCAGCCACTTACTAGCTGTGTGGCCTTGAGCAAGTCACTTAACCCCATTTGCCTCAGTTTCCTCATCTGTAAAATAAGCTGGAAAAGCAATGAAAAATCACTCCAGTATCTTTGCCAAGAAAACCCCAAATGGGGCCACAAAGAGTCACACATGACTGAAACCACTGAACAACAACCAAGCCATGAGTTCACAAAAGCAGCTGGAATTGGTAAATGCCCCCAGCCAGCTCATCATTAGACTTTCTCACATTCTAAGCAACTTCACCATTTAAATTTTCAAGTCCCAGGAATCTACAGAAAGAAAAGTGAGGGTGGAACTAGCCAGCCACAGAGAGCCATAGGACGCCTTTACTTGGTATGGGAGCTTTGCCTCTTATTTATTTGCATAAAGTTTAGGAATTAGAGATACTATAACTTGCGTGCACTAGGAAAGGAAACAATCCTGGCCTCCACAAACAACATAGTCAACCCTGGGTCCCCCCAGCCCTGCAGCAGAGGAGAGGAGACAGACTTATAAACAGAGGAATACTGGACACTATGGGAAAACATGCCTGGAAGAAACAAAGGAGACAGAACCAAGTGGAATGAGGGTTTCAAACAAAGAATCCCAGTAGGAACCCTGCAACAGTGTGTCATCCCATGATACATTACACAGCCTCCCATGGCTTTGTTAGGTGGATACAAGGACTTAACAAAGTGTCTGTTGCATTACTGATACAATCAGCTGAGTAGAAACTCACACAAGTTTGAAGGGCTGGCTTGAACCTTTAAAAACTACCCACATTTCTGGGGGAAGGAAGAACAGAAAATTGATTTTTAAAAAAATTTTTTTATTGTCTTTTAATTTTTTTAATTAACAAGTTGGTTTTCTCTTCCTCTTCCACTCCCAATTAAAAAAAAAGAAGAAGAAAACAAAAGTCCTGGTAAAATAATCCGCCTGGGGGTCAAGCAGAACAGATGGGAGGCTCAGAACAAAGGAGTTGAGCAGCCCTAGCCTTTAAGAAGAACATCCCGTCACTGTATTGCCAGGGGGAACACAGGCCTATGGGCCTGTTCATTTAAAATCCTCAGGGCATCCAGAGAATATTCTGGGACCTGGTTCTCATTGTCCTTCATGCCCTCTGGGCCAAAAGGACCTTGGAAACCATGAGTCTTCACAGATTTAATGCCCTCTGATCAGTTTGTGAAGCATGAGGCAGGGCCCAGAAGATCAGGGCTCTAGATCAATCAACATTTGTGAAGGCCTGCTCTGTGCCAGGCACTATGCTAAAGAGTGGGGATACAAAGAGGCAAATGACAGTCCCTGCCCTCAAGGAGCTTCCAATCTGATGAACCCTAGTTCTATTATTTACTAGGCCAGGAACCTCACGGAAAAGACTTAAACTCTCTGAGAGGAAGCACTTTCCTTTCTTGTAAAATGGGCAGACAGCACTGGAGTGGGAGTCAAACCAGGGTTCAAGTCCTGCCTCAGACCCTTCCTCCAAAAGCATGGGCCAGTCAGTCTGAAGAGTCTCTAAAGACTTAGCTAACCTAAATGTCAAATGACTAGGAAATCACCTGGACAAAAAGGTGGGACCCCGGAGGCAAAATCTAGATCTGGAGGAGACCTTAAAGGGAGGCCCAGGGGTAAAGGTGCCGCCCAGAGGGATCAAGCGCTTTGTGATCCTCCACTGCGGCTGGTGGGTCATCCATGGGTCATCCATGGCGACACTGAGTGGGTGGAACAGAGTACCACCCAAGGGGCGTTTTTCAACCCAATCATCCACGTTTCCAACGAACTCGATGAACCAAAGCCATTCAAAGAGCGATGGAGACCAGAAAGGGTCCTTGGCTTTGAACTCCAGCTGTCAGCGCCGCCCCCCCACGGGGAGGGGGAGGAGCCCTCCCCCCACTCCCCCAGATGGAGGAGGCCCCCAAACTCCTCTACACACGTCCATTCCAACCCTGGGCAGCTTTTAGTTACAGGAGGTGGAAGGGAAGGCCGTCTGATCAGATCCCCTTATTTTACAGATGGGGAAACTGAGGCACAGAGAGAGGAAAGCACTAGACCTATGCTCCTACGCAACGACTTGTCCTAGGTCACCGAAGTCGTTTTGGATTGAGTCAGGATTTGAACCCTGGTCCTCCCATCCCAATCCCCCTTCAAGAAGGCCTTCCATAGCGGGCTTGTATACAGTTGTTTGCTTCTCTTGGTAACTCCAGCGCCTGGCATACAGCAGGCACTCATACGCGCTTGTTCTAAGATTGAGCAGCATTTATGTGACGCCTACTGGATGCGCCAGGGACTGTGCTAAGCGCTGGACGACTACGATGTCCTCTTACACAGGAGGAAACTGAGGCCCAGACACGTGACATGACTTGGGATCACAGGGCCCTAGCCTTCGGACTGGGGGGGGGCCTTCATTTGACAGATGAGGAAACTGAGGCTTAGATTGGGGCGGGCAGGGCCTGGCGAGGGTCCCCCTGCTAGCAGGGGCCGGCGGAGGGATTCGAACCCAGGTCTGGCTCAGCGCGCTCGCGGCCCCGCCCGGCGGTTAGGCCCGGGCCTCAGTCTCCCCGTCCGCGGAATGGGCGCAGCGGCCACGGCGGCAGGCCGGAGGGCGGCACTCACCCACTGGTTGGCCTCGGGGCTGAAGGTGTAGAGTGCGACCTGGCCCGTGAGGTCGGCGATGCTGGTGATGTAGGGGTCGTGGCGCCTCAGCGCCGCCAGGCTCATCTCGGCCCCGGCTCGGCTCGCCGCCTCCATCTTGGCCGCCCCCCCCCCCCCCCCAGCCAGCCAGCGGCCCGGCACCGGAAATGGGGGGGCGGGGCCGCCCATTCAAACCTCCGGCGCCGTGGCACTGACGCAAGCGCCGCCGCGCAGGCGCGTCCGCCGTCTCCGACGCCGCTGACGCCGACGCAGAGTCCGGGCAGCGCCCGACCCCTCCTAGGAGGAGGAGGAGGTCCAGCCTCTTCCTGTCCCGCCCTCCGACGCCGGATCCTGCGTCGCTACGCACGGCGAGCACGAGCCCGTCAGCCAAGCACGCGCCGCTCAGGGCGCACCTGGCGCACGCGCGCGCGCGCAGCCGGAGGGCGGGGCGGCCCTCTGCTATGATAATAATGATGGATCGGGAGCTTCATGCAATGATGTAATGATAAAAACCGCAACAACCCCGGCAGAGCAGGCGCCTAAAGACGAGAGCATTAAGAACGATAACAGCCGAGCAGGAGGCCGCTAGGGGGCGCCATGGTGCCCAGGGGGGAAGACTGAGCCTCTTGAGTTCAAATCCAGCCCGTGTGACCCTGGGCAAGTCGCTTCCCGCTGTTTGCCTCGGTTTCCCCATCTGTAAAACGAGCTGGAGAAGGAAATGGCGAACCACCGCAGTATCTTTGCCAAGAAAGCCCGAAATGGGGTCTGGGAGAGTCATTCGTGACCAAAGTGACAACTGCAGCTCTTGCTATTTTTATGACCTTAGATGAATACTATTCATGGTATAGTAGCAGTAGGGATACAGTAGCTCCATCGAGCCACGTTTACATTCTATCAGTAACTAATGCTAGCAGCTTTTACATAAACATTTTAAGATTTGCAGGGTGTCATCTCGCTTAATCCCCATAGCAGCCCTGTGGGTTAGGTGCCTTCATTATCCTCCTTTTACAGGTGAGGAAACGATCCTATTTATCCACATATGATTGCGCAATGATATGATTAACCAATACAAGTATTGTGATAATGATATCAAATGGCATCAATAATATCATAATGAGCTATAACCGTAATAAGCGATGTCATCAGGCTCACTTGAGAAGCGAAGCAGTGCAGTAGAGTGGATAGAGCCCTAGGCCCAGAACCGAGGGAGCCCCGAAGGCCCTTTTCAGCTCTCCGTAGATGGGTCTAAGATTACTTTCTGCACCTGCCAGCGTTCCAGGTCAACTCTCTCAGATGATATTGCCAGGCTGCTGCCAGCCCCCTTTGATACAAGGAGTTTTCTCATCAGTGAGTTCCCTGTGCAAAGGGAAATGACAGATCCCGTCCAGATCCCAGTAATAGGGATCATGGAGAAAGTCTGGCGTTTCTGTGATGCCAAAGTGCCTTACGTGGATTGTCTCATTAGATCTTCACAAAAAACCTGCAGGTGCTATTATTATTTCCATTTTACAGATGAGGAAGGCACCTTTGAGACCCTTGAGGGCCTCCCCCAATTTTTTTTTAAAGATGAGGAAACAGGTTGAATGACTTGCCCATGCTGCCAGCTAGTCGCTGTCTGAGGCTGAATTTGTACTCGGGTCCCCCTGACTCCAAGGCTGGCGTCTCTCACCTGACCACAAATGCTGGTTGAAATGAATGGAGTGAAGGGCCTGCAAGGAAGCATCAACAGCTGTAGCCGAGGATGACGCTCCTCATCCTCCCCGCATTTCTTAAATGCTCATTGGCTGGTCGGTTCTCCATCACTGAGGAAGACGGAATTCTTGGCCTCCATGGGCAGCAGCCCCGGCTGGGAGGCACCTCCTCAGGTGACCCCGTCATTTTACAGAGGAAGAGGCTGAGGCCTGGGGAAATCAAGTGACTTGGCCAAGATTACGTGGCTGGTAAGTCTTAGAGCCAGGATTCAAACTCATGCTCAGTGCTCATTTGTTCTGTTGCCTGTGGGCTCTATTGGAAGCATGGGGAATGGAGCATCTTGTTTTAGGAACAGCAAAGAGGCCGGCGAGTGAGTGAGTGAGTGTGTGTGTGTGTGTGTGTGTGTGTGTGTGTGTGTGTAGGGGTGAGATGTAAGAAGACTGAAAACGGGGACAGGGGGTCTAGGGATTTGAATGCCAGCAGGGAACCACTGGGCTTCATTGAGTAAGGGGAAGAAAAAGAGGCCAAAGCAGCGATTGAGGAGAGATTGAGGATCCCACAGCTGGATCCCGCTCCGGACCTCTGAGCACAAAAGTTTGCCTTTTGCCCTTTGTCATTTGGAAGCTAAGTAGATCTCACAGAGAAAAGTATTTCCTTGGTACGTGTACAGACAGGACGGGTAGGATTGCAGCTGCCACAGCTTGCTAGTCGAGGTCACCAGAGTGACCACTTGCCTTATACGAGTTCCATAGAGTCAGAGGCCTTTGGGTGAGAAGTGTTATAGTGCTGAAGAACTGGGTGCTGGCGGTCTCCTCGGCTGGTCTTAGATACAACCTTCACCTGACTGGGCAAGTCCTTCAGGGTCCTTGTTTTGCCGGTGAAGGGGGTGGAGGATAATCCTTTATGAAATGCTTCCTGTGTGCCAGCCAGGGGGCTGAGCCCAGTACAGAATCTCAGCTGTTCAGGCCAGGGCTTCTGATTTTTCGTCTGGTGCTCTTCTTGCTATATGGCCTCTGGGGAAGTCTTGCATACTTCTTGCCTTTCCCAAACCAAGCTTTAAACCCACTGATTCGAACGCCCTGGGGCTGAGCCCTAAGATATCCAGGGGAGGAGGTTCAAGGCCTTTCTTCTCTGACCTGTGTTTGGGGGTAGATGGTTTGAGGACATCTGCTTCTTCACCCCAGAGTTGGAAGTAAGGGCTCGGGTACTATGACGGCATTGTGGATCCTTTTCAGGGAAATTCATTCTGACCCTTTAAATCAGGTGGTCAATCAGCCTTTATCACCTGCCTGTTATTTCAACTTTCACCTGGGGCTCTAAGAAGTTGTAGCATATGGTGTGGCCACAGCCCGGGAAAACCATCTTGGCAGATGGGCTAAACCAGGTGGAGGTGACAAATGGGCCTCAAACCCACTGGGGATTTAGGGGCCGTGTCTACCCCAAGCATGTGAAGACTTCCCCTGGCAGAATGGGCAGATGTGAACAATTTGTTCCAATGGCCATGAAAGTGACTGAAGCAGGTGCTGTGGAGTGCTTGGAGCTTGGGCAGACAAGGAGTTGCCGAGGTCACCCACTGCGTCCCAGGCCATGCCAATCGTTCTGACTTTTGTCTTGTCATTGGACTTTGATGACTCAGGAAAAGAGTGAGGCTGCCGACTTTGTGCAGCTCTGCCTCGCTGAAACCCAATTCACCTGTGAGTCAAGAAATTACTCTGTGATGTCATTGAAGCATGAACAAAGTTATGTTGTTCTATTGTGAATTTTCTGACTATATTATTTGGTGAAATGCCTTTACTTTTGAACTAATTGTGTCTTCTGGATGACTAGAGAAAAAGTAAGCACATTAGTAGGGGCTCACGAAGTATGGCTCTGATTGGATTTGGAACCACAGTACTTTGATCTTAGGGGTAGATATTCTGGGGATTCTTTGGGTTGAAAGATCGGTAGAGCATGTTTATGAATACAGACGATTTACTTCAGCTTGGCACAGCCTTGCCTATGAGCAATGTTTGGCTCACTTTCAGCGGTGTAACTTTCATATTCAGTTCCTTAATCTCTGTTTTGAAGGCTTTTCAGCAAGGTTTTGACAGGTAAACATGCTGACTACGCCATTTCTTAGGTAGGAGACACAGGAGGGCTTCTAGTACCTCTCACTAGCAGGTTTGCTTTTGTTCTGGTAAGACAGGAAAACCGGAATAGAGTTATAATAAGGGGTTAAATAAGCTTGCTTGATTCTAGTCTAGTCTTCTCAAAGGGAGTTTGCTGATAATGGGAGCACCAACTCCTACAGCATTCCCTAACAACCCTTCTCGGGGTCAGTGTGAAGGGTGGGGCAATAACCCCTCCCTCTCAATGGGTCAACGGAAACCAGTACAGCTTGTGAACTCCCCTAAATCCCCTCTAGCCTCAGTGGAGGTTGGTTGAGGCAAACACACAGATTCCCCCTCCCAGGCCTCAATGGGGGCTGATCAAGGCACGCACAGCATTCCAGCTTGTGCATTCACCCCTAACGGGGTCCCCACTCACTGACCAGTGTCCACTTGCTTTATAGGGCAACAGACAAAGAAGGCACATTGCCAATAATAGCCTCACAATTTTACATTACTTCATCCCTATAGCTAGTGCAGCTGCACAGGAGAAACTGTTCTGAACCATGATTGTGAGAACTCATATCTAACACCTGGGAAGTAGAGATTATTATGGCTATGGATCCTGGGAAAGAAGATTCTAAGAAAGAATAGCCAAAACCTACCCCACACACTAAAATTCACCTTACGTGCAGGTTCTCTTGAGCATTCTCCATTCCCAGAAAACTTGAGAACTTTTCTCTTTCACACGTAGAAGACAAGATCAGTCAGATGCTTCCTGATGCTCACCTCTCCTCCCCTCTCCCCTGTTTCTGTTTATGACAGCCATTTAAAATCAGAGAATCATGTTTAGAGCTGGAAGAGTTTTTACTCTAACCCCATCACTTTCTAAGTGTGGGAACTGAGGCCTAGAGAGATTAAGAGACTTCCTCAGCACCACACAGTGGCAGAGCAGAAGCTCGAACCCAGGGCCTCAGACTCCAAATCCTGTTTCCAAGACGCCACAAAATGTTTACTGGGAGATTTGTTCTTCTTGCTATTTCCACACCGTCCGGGGGGATGATGAGCCATAATCCCAGTTCTGTCTTCGTGGAGTCCTGCCATTGCAGCTGCTACTACTTTCCTCAGTTAGGGCCCTCGTAGCCTCTTACTGATCTTGTTGTAAAAGCCCCCTACTCTGATTGCTGCTTCATCTCTAACTCATCTTTTATTTCCATATTGACTCCCAAAAAGCTGTCAGTCACTCCCCATTGCCTAGAAAATAGAGTGCCTGGCATTTAAGACCCTCTGCCTTCTAGCTCTGGTCTCCCTTTCATTCCTTACTACTCTTCTTCTTCT